CTGGCGAATGAGTTAATGACATTTGAAATAAACTAATTACACTATTTTCAACCTTTCTTACTTACCGGTGCAGGTGTGCCGCGGATCGCACTAACAAACCAGGTGACAATAGGAGAGATATCACTAGAGGCCACATTTCCCACGCTAGAAATCGTCGATGTTCAAGGATCTGGCAAACTCAGCACGTTCTCGACCTCAGAACTTTGGCACGATCTTGATATTGATGGGTAACTACTAAGTCTTTGTCCACTGATTTGTTGATAACATCTGTTCCCCGTAGGCTTGTTTACTAAACAAAGAGAATTTCGTAGAAGTTATGTACATCTATTGTTTCTATACAGTCGTCATACAGTGGAACACCTAGAGCAAGTAATAAGCAAGTTATGCCCTTCCGAAGGTAGCGTCCACAGCGTTTCGCCAACTAGTCCTTAGATTGCAAGTCCTGGACGGGGTCTATCCTCAGAGAGGCAAAATGTTTGCTCTTACTACGATGCATTCTGTTCCGACGACTACCGTATTTGGTACCTTCTCATTTTTATGTTCAGTTGTAGCACACTTCCCGTGACTAACTGCCACGTCACTTTTATATCTGCTGATTCGTCAATCTGTGGTATCTGCTGCTGGCCCGCTCTAGTGCCTAGTGCCGGAGAAAAAAAGACTCACAGAAGGGAACACAACCGCTACATTCCGAACAAGCGAGTGCGAGAGCGTGAGTGCGTGTGAGTGCAAGAGCAAAAGTTACAACGTCCCCACGCTATTTAAAGGGGACTTTCTGACATTCCCTTAATGCTATGTCACAAGAAGGTTGATTTCTTTCATGTGGCTAACTAAGAAAGCGTTCTGTGGTCGGTCACATGACCACTTACCGTTCAGGTGTAGCCCTCTTCCGGTGACTAACTGCCACGTCACTGTTATATCTGCTGATTCGTAAATATGTGGGATCTGCTGCTGACCCGCTCCAGTGCCTAGTTGCCGGAAAAAAGACTCACAGAAGGAAATACAACCGGTATATTCCGAACAAGCGAGTGCGAGAGCTTGAGTGCGTGCGAGTGGGAGAGCAAAAGTTACAACGGTCCCACGCTATTCAAAGGGGACTTTCTGACATTAATCCAAGCTGTCTGATAGGCGTTAGTGAACACCCATCAACATCGATCGTGCCTCTATGAAATGCCTGAACGCTGATCACATTTGGTCGTGTTTTTGTGGCGTACATGAACACTCATCAGCTTTTGCTGAATTGATTGAATGATTGACCGGCCTGGATGCTTGCCGGCTTTCCTTTTGCAGACTTTGGTGGAGCAGTAGGTTTCGGGCTCACTGAGGTTACATCCAGGAATCTGACCTTCCTGATAGTCACTCGAAAGAAGCAGGAAGCCTGGGATATCATCACAATGCCCAAGCCTAGTCACAGGAAGTCGAGGTTGGGTTCGAAACGCGGACCTTCTGGTCATTAAATTCGCACACTAACCAATGAACGATCTCCATATACGACCACTTAGTACAATAAAGCAGTTTTCGACCTTGAGAAACGCCAAACAGACTTTTACTCATTGCTACCATATGTGAAGACCAATGATACGTATTTTAAGAATTCAATGCTGGCAACTTGTGGTTACAAAGACACGCTTTATGATGGGCCATATTACATTCCACACTATTCGATCCGACGGATTGTTTAGGCCACTGACTTCTGACGGCTTCACTTCGTGCAGTTGTACTACCGGTGCCAGCTTTTTGTTTACCTGTTCGAATGAATATTATTCTTTTCAACTGTACATAGCATTTGAGTTTTGCTGATTTGTATACAAACTCTGTCGGATTCATCCTTTTAATCGGATATTCTTTTCAACTGTACATAGCATTTGAGTTTTGCTGATTTGTATACAAACTCTGTCGGATTCATTCTTTTGATCGGACCGGATGAGTTTTACTTCAATATCAGACAGTGACATTTTCTCTCAGTAGTTTGAATAAAAGCATTTTGGCATTGCAAAATTTCAGCTCCATAACTTGATAAGGTTTTAAACTATTACAGTATAATGCAGTGTCTGACCCTCCGATGGGGAAAACTCCGTTGTGTGCGTTATCTCGGTCAACAGGTTCAGAGAAACTTATGACTGCAGTAAACACTCGAGCAAATTTGTAGGAGGGATGGATTTGAATTCTCTCAAACTTCTGCAATTCATCCTGACTTGTTTTTCGATATCCATTTCCATTGTTTGCTGTTGAAACTCATGCCTTTCAAAATAAGAGAACTCCAACAATCAGAAATTCAATCGAATATCCTAGAATCCAATCGGAAATCAACAAAACAAGGCATTTCATCAGCACTGGCGTAGTTTAGACTGTGTGCAAGGACACAGTATGTACTGCTAGTGTGTTAACTTCGCACATGGTCGATCTCAAATTTAGCTAAGCACGTGACCCTTATGACTGTCCTCCGGCCAGAGTCTTAATCGTTTAACCGACAACAAAAACGCCAATGAAATCGATTAGCAGACATATCTTGCGGCGTCTCCAATCAGGAGCGATGGGTATCCTGGAAGGCGAGTATTATCATCAGCAGCCAAATGTTTCGCAATTTCTTTCATGTTCCTCTACCAGCTCAATGGTTGGCAACCTCTCTTCTAAAGCTACTCTGAATCGGGCACAGAAAACAGCACTATCATCGGCAAACAATGGTTTGGCATACGCAACACATGTCCCAACCAACGCAGCTTCTGGTGCTGGATACATTCTTCAACGGAAGTACCCGTTGCACAACCGAAAACGTGCTTTCTAACTGCCTCGTTACTGATTCGCCGACACCAACCCACACGAGCTGTTTCTGAGACAACGGTTGTCGAATACCTGAAGACGTCTCAGTTCCGCTGTTCGAATAGGCCAAGTCTCACAGCCATACAACAAAACTGTCAGTACGGTAGCTTGATACACACGTCCCTTGAGATTCAATGCTATTTTCCTCGGAAAGTACGAAATGTAGAATGATGATCCTAATAGGTTATTTGAGATATAATCCAAGACTTAGACTCTTGATGTACAAATTTTTCGTTGTACTTAGTGGTAAACAGAAAGTGATTGGAAACGGGTTGCCTGCAACTAAGTGGATGGTGTGTTTGTCGGGCGAATGCTTTGCGAACACAAAGACTAACTTTTGAACTTTTATACTTCCGATATTATTCAACAAATGATTTTTTCGAAACGAAAACAAAAAATGCTGTGTATGTTACCCTACAAATACGTACCTCCTGTTCTCTCATACAGCCTGAATCACAGCCTTTCTGAGGACCCAACGGCACTGGAACTTGAAGATTCCGCTAAGACTCGCCCAATGTTTCGTGACGATCCAGCTGTGAATGTGGACAGAGGGCCTGTGTTTGATTGGTTTGTTGGTTCCTCAGTAGCCACCATGCAGGATGAAACTGTGCTAGATGAATCCACAGTGGCAACCGAATCACAACTTCATGTTCTGTTTGAAAACAAACGTCCAGTGGATGTTGAATGTCTGTTCCTGTTTCCAAGTGTCTATGTGGTCGATCCACCGTCTTGGGTCGATGATGGCACTTACACCGATGACGAATTACATCACGTGCGTGTCAGTAGCTCGACCTTTTTTGGTTATGTGATTACTTGTCACGGTTTCTTCTTTCAAGGAATGCGTGAGAAAAGTTCATCTCATCGGAATCAACTTTGTGACGAGAAAAAAGCACCAGCTTTCACTTTTACTTTACTACTTAATTGGTTTGTAAATAGCTATAATAGAATAATTTCTGAATCAATAGACCACATTGCATTCCTATGATAATCTGACGCGATGGAATGAAATAGTGATCGTTTGAAACAGATGGCAAGATCTTTAGTATGAAGCAATATTTCTTTCAGTTTCTACTTTCCGTGGAAGAACAAAGGAGAAAAGCGACCTTGTTTTTTATGTGATAAGAACTAAACTTTGACCGCATGGCTACGATCCCCTTCTGGCCCATGCCCTCTTCCCCATTCAGAATGGATTGGTTTTACTTATATACCGACATCTCAAACGAATGTTTCCAGATTTCCTTGCACTGTTCAGAGGGAGAATAATTCCAAGAGATAAGTGAACTTGTCTTCTGAGGCATCGCCACTCAATGAGCCGGTCATCAAGAGTGACCACATTTTGTGATTTCCATTACTGAAGGATATGTGACGCCACGTTCTCTCCAAGCGCGAGTTAACGACAGTCAGTAGTTCAAACAATTAAGCATTAATTGGACTCGAGTTTCGCTGTTATTAGAGCTCATCAGCAGTGCATTTCCAATGGCAAAACCACTAGCCGAGAGGTCACTTGAAGTTTGTAATATACACACTACTGATGATCCCAAGTAGAGATAAACCACCTGTGTTGTGATTAACCCTTGGTTGACTTCAATTACAGGACCAAATTCAGAATGAAAATATTACTTAATCTGTTCACATAGCCTAGAAACTAGCGATCAAATTTTCAGTGTGAATTGGATCTATATTCTCATTGTCGTAACATCTCTCCCTAGACCGTGAGTT